AAACTGTAAAAGTTTAGTTATATTTGGAGAAAAACTTTTTTTTTTGGACTGAGGGTTTGGTATTTAATCAACCACTAGGTGGCGCAACATATCTAACATTTAACATTATATGCCACACTTCTAATGCTCATCATACTACCAATTATATTTGGTTTTATATTATATATTTATATACTTGGTTTTGCATAATTGAACCTTTTCAAAAATGCTTATTAGTTTTTTTTAACTTAATATGAATAGTTTTCACAAACAGAACAAGGATTTGAGCTTACAGCTCAAGATCTAGAGTTGTTGACTGAGATCAACTTCTATTAAGCTATTAAACGTATGACAGTTAAAAACCCCATAAAACTGCTGTAATTAAAAAATAAAAAGCACACTAAAAATCAGCCTTTAAAAACAACCGAGTAGAGCAGTTTTAACTACTGATTCACAAGCTGCTTTGAAAACATTTGTAGATATTTCACTTCAAAGTCAGTGTAAAATCAAAGAGACGCAAAATCCTACAAAAACAAGTCTAGTTTAGAAGAGTAGTGTCTTTTCTAGGGCTGGGTATAATTTAAGAACTTTAAATGTAATGGGACCTTAATAAAAAGTACCTTACAGTGACATATTTGGTGAATGAATGAAGAAAAAAGCGGATGATTCTATCTTAAAAAGTAAAGTTTGCACCCTGTTTGTAAGTAACTTTATAATAAAAGCATTGGTGCTTTAAGCCCGGCTCACACTGTGTGATTTTGGCCACGATTTGGTCGTCTGAGACAAATTGTGAAAATCTTAAAAGATTCCTATAATCCTAGGCTAAAATCTGTAGTCTTTGATCGTTAGTTTGACATGTTCACCGACAGCCGATTAATGGCCGTTGCGATCAAATTTTACCTCCGACGAAATTCAGGCAGTGTCAGAAGATTTGGCGCACAGTCCTGCAGTGTGTCAATTGCACGCAGGATCTAAAATCAACACCCAAGCAGAGCAATTAGCACAATATTGAACTAAATTATGTTTTGTTGTGAATCAAATTCATTTAAGAACTGTAAATGTAATAATGTAATGTAAAGGTAAAAGTAACCTTAATAAAAAGTACCTTACAGTGACGTGTTTTGTGAATGAATGAACAAAAAAGCGGATGAGTCTATCTTAAAAAGTTAAATTTGCACCCTGTTTGTAAGTCACTTTATAATAAAAGCATTGGTGCTTAAGTGCGTAAAATATCTTCAAAAGAAGCTGTTGCATTGGCCGGGAATCGAACCCGGGCCTCCCGCGTGGCAGGCGAGAATTCTACCACTGAACCACCAATGCTCACATGGCAGCATGTTTTTGCTCGGGACATTTTGTGATGTAACAGCCATCAGTATGTCTTTAAACACATTGAAATTAAACTAAATAGTCAAAATTTCACAAAGCGGACTAACCCTAAAAACACTCACTTTTAACAGACCCCTCAATGTCCCAACGGGCCGCTTCCCCTTTGTAAAGAGAAAAAAAAACATGAACAAATAGGTGAACAACAAGCATATAAAGCACAACTGGTACAGCATAAAATGTCTACTGACTTGAACTCTGGAGTCCCAGAACTACAAACAGCTATTAAAACTGTAAAAGTGAAGTTATATTTGGAGAAAAACGTTTTTAGACTGAGGGTTTGGTATTTAATCAACCACTAGGTGGCGCAACATATCTAACATTTAACATTATATGCCACACTTCTAACGCTCATCATACTACCAATTATATTTGGTTTTATATTATATATTTATATAAGTTACTTGGTTTTACATAATTGAACATTTTCAAAAATGCTTATTAGTTTTTTTTTTTTTTACTTAATATGAATCGTTTTCACAAACAGAACAAGGATTTGAGCTTACAGCTCAAGATCTAGAGTTGTTGACTGAGATCAACTTCTATTAAGCTATTAAACGTATGACAGTTAAAAACCCCATAAATCTGCTGTAATTAAAAATTCCAAGAAAATATATTTTACGTAAAACTTACGTTGAAAGACGTTTGGTCTTGTGTGGTCACTAGAGTGCGCTTCAAACCTAATAGTCTTGAAACTATACTGACACTTAAGTTAAAAACTAATCAGTTCACATAAACAAATGCAAAAAAAACTCGCGTTTTATTTTGAAAAGTGGGCCTATTTGGAGAACTTACCTTAATCATGAGTTCGCGCTCACTAAAGGCAATCTTAATCAAGAAACGTGTAAACAAGTCGATATGATTTGGCTAGCACGGTCACAAGAAACATCTTATGAAAATAACATTATCTTCTTGTAATAAAGGCACGATTCTTTAATGTAATAGTAAATAAAGTACTAAATCGTTACATTTAACCTTATGTCAAAATAAAAAAGCTAGTCACGTCTTTTGGCCTATGCACCATCATTCGAGCCTAAAATTAATTATGCTTTTATAAAACAAAGCTGGAAAGCTTACGGAAGCAAACCTTCCTTTAACAAAAAACCATTTTAACTTAAAACTTTAGTTCAGTTTTCGACCAAACCTAAAAACTTCAGATACTCACCAACAAGATGGAGCCGTTCATAATCTTCAGATATGCTTCATATTCACCCAAACGTTGATTTCGACGCCAAATTACTTAAATCACGTTAGAATTTCGTTCAGGTGTGTATTCGAAATAAGAATGGCCCACTTTCATACAGAAATAATCGCTAATTATCATCTTCGCCATCCTGTGGTGATACTCGCTGTCCTCGCGACCGTTGAGGTTTGAATTTTAGTGGCGGGAAAGAACATTTAAATTCAAATCAAACAAAAAATTGTATTTGTACAATTTTGTTGGATTTAATACTGTTTGTAATTTTTTTGGCAAGTGTAAACTACATAAGTAAAGAAACTCCTTGCCTCTAAACGTGACATATTCAGACCTATTTAAACCAATAAAAGAAGTTCCCTATTCAATGATGGAATAGATTAACATTAAAATGGATTATTGCGCAGTTTTCAACTATGCAATACTTTTTCATGTCCCTGAAATATTTTAATAAATTAGAATAAAAATATTGAACTGTGTAACTACAGAAATCATATTTTTAACACAATTAAGTGACGTCCATAATGCTATCAACCACCAGGAAGTGGAATAAGTTTTCATGGTAAAACAACACAAACATGAACAAGTATGTGCTGTAATTTAAGTGAAAGAGCTCAAATATCACTGCACAACAGGAATGACCCCATTAACTCGTGACAAGGTTCAAACAGACTATAAAAAGTCCCCCCAGAGAGAGTTTATTCTAATCTCAAGTTTCAAGTCCCCTTTTAATGAAGAACAAGAGATGTACACAATGTTGCAATGACTGTATTGTTCACAGAAATTTGCAGGAATCCGGCTTTTACTTGCAAAACAAGTGACTGCCACACTTCTAATGCTCATCATACTACCAATTATATTTGGTTTTATATTATATATTTATATACTTGGTTTTGCATAATTGAACCTTTTCAAAAATGCTTATTAGTTTTTTTTTACTTAATATGAATAGTTTTCACAAACAGAACAAGGATTTGAGCTTACAGCTCAAGATCTAGAGTTGTTGACTGAGATCAACTTCTATTAAGCTATTAAACGTATGACAGTTAAAAACCCCATAAATCTGCTGTAATTAAAAATTCCAAGAAAATATATTTTACGTAAAACTTACGTTGAAAGACGTTTGGTCTTGTGTGGTCACTAGAGTGCGCTTCAAACCTAATAGTCTTGAAACTATACTGACACTTAAGTTAAAAACTAATCAGTTCACATAAACAAATGCAAAAAAAACTCGCGTTTTATTTTGAAAAGTGGGCCTATTTGGAGAACTTACCTTAATCATGAGTTCGCGCTCACTAAAGGCAATCTTAATCAAGAAACGTGTAAACAAGTCGATATGATTTGGCTAGCACGGTCACAAGAAACATCTTATGAAAATAACATTATCTTCTTGTAATAAAGGCACGATTCTTTAATGTAATAGTAAATAAAGTACTAAATCGTTACATTTAACCTTATGTCAAAATAAAAAAGCTAGTCACGTCTTTTGGCCTACACACCATCATTCGAGCCTAAAATTAATTATGCTTTTATAAAATAAAGCTGGAAAGCTTACGGAAGCAAACCTTCGTTTAACAAAAAACCCTTTTAACTTAAAACTTATTTAGTTCAGTTTTCGACCAAACCTAAAAACTTCACAGATACTCACCAACAAGATGGAGCCGTTCATAATCTTCAGATATGCTTCATATTCACCCAAACGTTGATTTCGACGCCAAATTACTTAAATCACGTTAGAATTTCGTTCAGGTGTGTATTCGAAATAAGAATGGCCCACTTTCATACAGAAATAATCGCTAATTATCATCTTCGCCATCCTGTGGTGATACTCGCTGTCCTCGCGACCGTTGAGGTTTGAATTTTAGTGGCGGGAAAGAACATTTAAATTCAAATCAAACAAAAAATTGTATTTGTACAATTTTGTTGGATTTAATACTGTTTGTAATTTTTTTGGCAAGTGTAAACTACATAAGTAAAGAAACTCCTTGCCTCTAAACGTGACATATTCAGACCTATTTAAACCAATAAAAGAAGTTCCCTATTCAGTGATGGAATAGATTAACATTAAAATGGATTATTGCGCAGTTTTCAACTATGCAATACTTTTTCATGTCCCTGAAATATTTTAATAAATTAGAATAAAAATATTGAACTGTGTAAATACAGAAATCATATTTTTTACACAATTAAGTGAGTTTGCAACTAACAAAACGTCCATAATGCTATCAACCACCAGGAAGTGGAATAAGTTTTCATGGTAAAACAACACAAACATGAACAAGTATGTGCTGTAATTTAAGTGAAAGAGCTCAAATATCACTGCACAACAGGAATGACCCCATTAACTGGTGACAAGGTTCAAACAGACTATAAAAAGTCCCCCCAGAGAGAGTTTATTCTAATCTCAAGTTTCAAGTCCCCTTTTAATGAAGAACAAGAGATGTACACAATGTTGCAATGACTGTATTGTTCACAGAAATTTGCAGGAATCCGGCTTTTACTTGCAAAACAAGTGACTGTAAAGCATAAAAATAGTTATCAATTCTTACATCATGACTTCTCAACAACTGCATTTACTTCGTAATAAACTGTTAGTTACTAAAACAAAACAAAAAAAAGTGTTCATGTACACAAACATACAACTATCTAATCTACGCATCCTGCTTTTGGTTAACTACATCAACTGAAATGCTACGCTTCTTCGAAGTATGTCATATACACATTTCATCACATGAAAGTTTCGTCTCAGGTTAGGGGAAGTTTAATGGCAAAAACCTGCCCCTTCAGACAGAGTATAAAGATGTTCGCTGGAATCACAAAGGCACAAGTGACTACAAAAATCATTCACTGCTCGCAGTTGGCGTGTATCGGTAAGGTGCTCTTCCCTTCGGGTCAAGAACAGGAGTAGGCTACACAGTTTTCAGTCGTGATTCTGGCTACAGGAAAAACTAACAAAAAGATCTCCAGCTGGATTTGAAATCACCATAATTGATTCTGCTCACCAATTATGGAACATACAAGGTCTAGAGAAGCCAAAGAGTGGAAGAGTTCATACATAAAACACAGACAAAGTCCCACAAGAATCTAATGAGAGCAGGAGGACGAGGAGAACATCTAATGCCCCCCAACACCACGGCAGTCAATACAGGTTTAAAAACAGGCAAAGACCCAAATGAAATGCTTGGAGTTTTTTTTGGCAACATTGATATGTTGACACACTGGTAAAAAAAACACCTGGCACAGATTTTGAGAGTGTTCAGCAGTCCGCTGCGCTTGTGGGAACAGCTAGCGGTTGTTCTTCATCGCTTCCTTGGCCGCCAAAATCAGAGGAGTGAGACTCGAGAGAGGCTTGGCCAACTTCAGGAAAGGATGCTGAAGACGACAGCAGGATTGATCAATGAACAAGTTCACACAAGTCACGCTATTATTCCTTAATCGCTAGAATTTGTTGCTAACTGGTTTACCTGCAAAAGCTCTTTGCTTCCACCCCTCTTCTCCACGTCCATCTCCAGACAGCGACTCAGAAAGTCTCGGAAGATGGGCGACAACTTTTCAGGACTTTGCAACTCTGGAGTCCCATTGGTGGCAATCAGGTAGAGCGCCTGAGGAGCAAAGAGTTTGGGAGTTTAGTTTCTGTATTCGCCACATCGCTAACTTCTTGAAGAACCAATGATACCTATGTACCCTCAGTGGATTCTCGTTGAGGTACGGCGGTTCTCCTTCCACCATCTCGATAGCCATGATGCCCAAGGACCAGATGTCGACTTTGGGTCCGTAGGCTTTGCGCGTCACGACTTCCGGAGCCATCCAATATGGTGTTCCCACCATGGTGCTCCTCTTATTCTGTTCGGGAGTGATCTGAGCACAGAATCCAAAGTCCGCTGCGGAGCAGGAGATGAAAAAGATAGTTTAGAGACATTGCTTGGTTTGTTTCCTTTCATTGATGACTTAAATGGAACTTATGGACCTTATAGTCGCATTAGATGCCATTTTTAACACCAATGACAATCACGAAGTGAGAATTGTAGACCAGTGCGTCATATGGTTGCGTAATTTGGTGTTGACCAAGAAGATGGCAAAATGCCAAAAATACAATTCTAAAACAATTCCAGTAGACTTTAAAAACTAGACTGAAAAAAATGTAACGTAACCCAAGACCTCAAGATGTAATGGGTCCCATTCATGAAACAAGTCCAAATTGTTCATAAAATCAGTTAAGTAAACCAAACTATGTTTCATGATCGATTTACACCGTTTGTTTTTTCACGAATAAGGCTTATTCATAGTCTCGTTTTATTTAGTGTCTAAATAAACATGGCATCTACCCTGACTAAAGTCAATTATGGATTTTATTGTGGGCTAGTTTGATTCACACTGCATGTCTAGGGTGCAAAACTTCAGAAGAAACGTTGCAATAATGAAAAGGCTGTTGGCTGCGATAAATAGCGTTGACAATGTTATCAGAGTATATCAAAATACTAATGACATTTCTTCAAGTAAGTGCTGTTGGGTGAAAACCAAACACTTTATTCACTTGAACGTCTATTGTTGGAACAGTTTACTTACAGTTTCTTTATAGTCGTCAAGTTTTGGCTCACAAGAGCTCAATTGTTCAGAACGAGCAGCTAAACCAAACCAAACATGACGCTTACTGCGTCTGTAAAAGATTCCTATAATCCTAGGCTAAAATCTGTAGTCTTTGATCGTTAGTTTGACATGTTCACCGACAGCCGATTAATGGCCGTTGCGATCAAATTTTACCTCCGACGAAATTCAGGCAGTGTCAGAAGATTTGGCGCACAGTCCTGCAGTGTGCCTTCTCCTATGACGAACATCAAACCGTCTTCGACATGATCATGTTCGTACAGTCTGACAAGTACAATCCTAAAGGACTTTTTTTCTTTTTAAATCGCACAGTGTGAGCCCTGCTTAAGTGCGTAAAATATCTTCAAAAGAAGCTGTTGCATTGGCCGGGAATCGAACCCGGGCCTCCCGCGTGGCAGGCGAGAATTCTACCACTGAACCACCAATGCTCACATGGCAGCATGTTTTTGCTCGGGACATTTTGTGATGTAACAGCCATCAGTATGGAATTGAAATTAAAATTAAACTAAATAGTCAAAATTTCACAAAGCGGACTAACCCTAAAAACACTCACTTTTAACAGACCCCTCAATGTCCCAACGGGCCGCTTCCCCTTTGTAAAGAGAAAAAAAAACATGAACAAATAGGTGAACAACAAACATATAAAGCACAACTGGTACAGCATAAAATGTCTACTGACTTGAACTCTGGAGTCCCAGAACTACAAACAGCTATTAAAACTGTAAAAGTGAAGTTATATTTGGAGAAAAACGTTTTTAGACTGAGGGTTCGGTATTTAATCAACCACTAGGTGGCGCAACATATCTAACATTTAACATTATATGCCACACTTCTAATGCTCATCATACTACCAATTATATTTGGTTTTATATTATATATTTATATACTTGGTTTTGCATAATTGAACCTTTTCAAAAATGCTTATTAGTTTTTTTTAACTTAATATGAATAGTTTTCACAAACAGAACAAGGATTTGAGCTTACAGCTCAAGATCTAGAGTTGTTGACTGAGATCAACTTCTATTAAGCTATTAAACGTATGACAGTTAAAAACCCCATAAATCTGCTGTAATTAAAAATTCCAAGAAAATATATTTTACGTAAAACTTACGTTGAAAGACGTTTGGTCTTGTGTGGTCACTAGAGTGCGCTTCAAACCTAATAGTCTTGAAACTATACTGACACTTAAGTTAAAAACTAATCAGTTCACATAAACAAATGCAAAAAAAACTCGCGTTTTATTTTGAAAAGTGGGCCTATTTGGAGAACTTACCTTAATCATGAGTTCGCGCTCACTAAAGGCAATCTTAATCAAGAAACGTGTAAACAAGTCGATATGATTTGGCTAGCACGGTCACAAGAAACATCTTATGAAAATAACATTATCTTCTTGTAATAAAGGCACGATTCTTTAATGTAATAGTAAATAAAGTACTAAATCGTTACATTTAACCTTATGTCAAAATAAAAAAGCTAGTCACGTCTTTTGGCCTACACACCATCATTCGAGCCTAAAATTAATTATGCTTTTATAAAATAAAGCTGGAAAGCTTACGGAAGCAAACCTTCGTTTAACAAAAAACCCTTTTAACTTAAAACTTATTTAGTTCAGTTTTCGACCAAACCTAAAAACTTCACAGATACTCACCAACAAGATGGAGCCGTTCATAATCTTCAGATATGCTTCATATTCACCCAAACGTTGATTTCGACGCCAAATTACTTAAATCACGTTAGAATTTCGTTCAGGTGTGTATTCGAAATAAGAATGGCCCACTTTCATACAGAAATAATCGCTAATTATCATCTTCGCCATCCTGTGGTGATACTCGCTGTCCTCGCGACCGTTGAGGTTTGAATTTTAGTGGCGGGAAAGAACATTTAAATTCAAATCAAACAAAAAATTGTATTTGTACAATTTTGTTGGATTTAATACTGTTTGTAATTTTTTTGGCAAGTGTAAACTACATAAGTAAAGAAACTCCTTGCCTCTAAACGTGACATATTCAGACCTATTTAAACCAATAAAAGAAGTTCCCTATTCAATGATGGAATAGATTAACATTAAAATGGATTATTGCGCAGTTTTCAACTATGCAATACTTTTTCATGTCCCTGAAATATTTTAATAAATTAGAATAAAAATATTGAACTGTGTAACTACAGAAATCATATTTTTAACACAATTAAGTGACGTCCATAATGCTATCAACCACCAGGAAGTGGAATAAGTTTTCATGGTAAAACAACACAAACATGAACAAGTATGTGCTGTAATTTAAGTGAAAGAGCTCAAATATCACTGCACAACAGGAATGACCCCATTAACTGGTGACAAGGTTCAAACAGACTATAAAAAGTCCCCCCAGAGAGAGTTTATTCTAATCTCAAGTTTCAAGTCCCCTTTTAATGAAGAACAAGAGATGTACACAATGTTGCAATGACTGTATTGTTCACAGAAATTTGCAGGAATCCGGCTTTTACTTGCAAAACAAGTGACTGTAAAGCATAAAAATAGTTATCAATTCTTACATCATGACTTCTCAACAACTGCATTTACTTCGTAATAAACTGTTAGTTACTAAAACAAAACAAAAAAAAGTGTTCATGTACACAAACATACAACTATCTAATCTACGCATCCTGCTTTTGGTTAACTACATCAACTGAAATGCTACGCTTCTTCGAAGTATGTCATATACACATTTCATCACATGAAAGTTTCGTCTCAGGTTAGAGGAAGTTCAATGGCAAGAACCTGCCCCTTCAGACAGAGTATAAAGGTGTTGGCTGGAAAAACAACAAAGGCACAAGTGACTACAAAAATCATTCACTGCTCGCAGTTGGCGTGTATCGGTAAGGTGCTCTTCCCTTCGGGTCAAGAACAGGAGTAGGCTACACAGTTTTCAGTCGTGATTCTGGCTACAGGAAAAACTAACAAAAAGATCTCCAGCTGGATTTGAAATCACCATAATTGATTCTGCTCACCAATTATGGAACATACAAGGTCTAGAGAAGCCAAAGAGTGGAAGAGTTCATACATAAAACACAGACAAAGTCCCACAAGAATCTAATGAGAGCAGGAGGACGAGGAGAACATCTAATGCCCCCCAACACCACGGCAGTCAATACAGGTTTAAAAACAGGCAAAGACCCAAATGAAATGCTTGGAGTTTTTTTTGGCAACATTGATATGTTGACACACTGGTAAAAAAAACACCTGGCACAGATTTTGAGAGTGTTCAGCAGTCCGCTGCGCTTGTGGGAACAGCTAGCGGTTGTTCTTCATCGCTTCCTTGGCCGCCAAAATCAGAGGAGTGAGACTCGAGAGAGGCTTGGCCAACTTCAGGAAAGGATGCTGAAGACGACAGCAGGATTGATCAATGAACAAGTTCACACAAGTCACGCTATTATTCCTTAATCGCTAGAATTTGTTGCTAACTGGTTTACCTGCAAAAGCTCTTTGCTTCCACCCCTCTTCTCCACGTCCATCTCCAGACAGCGACTCAGAAAGTCTCGGAAGATGGGCGACAACTTTTCAGGACTTTGCAACTCTGGAGTCCCATTGGTGGCAATCAGGTAGAGCGCCTGAGGAGCAAAGAGTTTGGGAGTTTAGTTTCTGTATTCGCCACATCGCTAACTTCTTGAAGAACCAATGATACCTATGTACCCTCAGTGGATTCTCGTTGAGGTACGGCGGTTCTCCTTCCACCATCTCGATAGCCATGATGCCCAAGGACCAGATGTCGACTTTGGGTCCGTAGGCTTTGCGCGTCACGACTTCCGGAGCCATCCAATATGGTGTTCCCACCATGGTGCTCCTCTTATTCTGTTCGGGAGTGATCTGAGCACAGAATCCAAAGTCCGCTGCGGAGCAGGAGATGAAAAAGATAGTTTAGAGACATTGCTTGGTTTGTTTCCTTTCATTGATGACTTAAATGGAACTTATGGACCTTATAGTCGCATTAGATGCCATTTTTAACACCAATGACAATCACGAAGTGAGAATTGTAGACCAGTGCGTCATATGGTTGCGTAATTTGGTGTTGACCAAGAAGATGGCAAAATGCCAAAAATACAATTCTAAAACAATTCCAGTAGACTTTAAAAACTAGACTGAAAAAAATGTAACGTAACCCAAGACCTCAAGATGTAATGGGTCCCATTCATGAAACAAGTCCAAATTGTTCATAAAATCAGTTAAGTAAACCAAACTATGTTTCATGATCGATTTACACCGTTTGTTTTTTCACGAATAAGGCTTATTCATAGTCTCGTTTTATTTAGTGTCTAAA